TTTTTAAACCACCAATCACTGGATTTAAGCTCTTGTCCACAGAAGCGGTGTCTACGTGAAGACTTGATGAAGATGGTATCGCATTTTTGCTAGGCACACTGGCCTTCTCATTCATGGCACTACCAGCGAGTCCCAGTTTTGGTCCAGTAAGCGGAATCACGCGAACTTTTTCTTTTTTTACCCGCTTTTTCGTAGTTTTAGATTTTGGAGCTGCCGCCCGCACACGTGTTTTAGAGAGCTTTTGAGGCACACGATCAGCTGGCAAAGTGGGAGGCGTTGTAAAGTCTGCTTTGTATGGGCATGTAGTGTCACCAGAAACAGGAGGGGCAAGACTGGCATAGGACTCCACAGTTGGGCTTGTGCAGTGGGTTCCGTTAAGAATTACGCCACTCTCCACCCTTGAATGAGGTGGCGTGTGGTTGCTCGGACTGCTACTAGTGTTTGTGAGTGAAGAAGGCATTACAACTGTTCCGGGAGCACTGCTGGAGGTTGACGGGGAACAGGCAGAGTAAAAATTACGGGCAGGTGTGAGGGAACCAAAAGTGTGAGGAACACTTTGGTGGTCAAGGTTTCGCGAAGAAGCTAGTTGTGCTTCCGTGGCACCGATTAATTCACGACGAAAAAGCGGACTTTCTGACGGGAACTTACGACCAGGACTGGAAACGGTCATATAGTGATCTTTCGCCATCCACCTGTGTTTGGGTTTTTGGTACCCACGACGCTTTGCGTTGCAATTATCCTCAACTTCTTGAAATTCATAAACACTTGAGTGGAGCTGTGGAGAAGTGAGCTGTTGTTGAAACTTCGACAATGGACCAACGTTTAGGGAGTCAGATGGAGAGATGGACGTCATGGATCAAAAATCATCTGAAATTCGAAAAGTGTAGCCTTGAAAATAGTGTTTGTGGTTTGAGAGGGCACTTTTATGAATGCAATGGAAAACAAAAAGTGGGGATTCAGATCAATTACGACTTAGGTTATGAAATAATACAAGAATCGGCAGAAAACTGGCCATCACAACTACGTATTAGTGTAATGAAAAGGGTTTTGCAGATATCTGTTAAAACAGCTGCGGTTTTGGCATAAACGAAATGGCTACGTTAGACATCGTAAAATACAAGCGCCTTCTTTGTTAAATATAAGTCACAAAGCATTCGACCAAGGATAATTATTCAGAGGATGGAGAAAATCTTGGGACCTTGAACTGCATGCTGAACTCTTTTACTGCTAGACATAAATAGGTTTAACTCACCAGATCAGTTGCCACAAATAATCGCACATGGAGAAGCGTTGTGGGGACATAACTGAAACTAGCTGGGCAAGATACGGTGGTAACCAGGTGTGAGTATTCCACCTAAGTAAATATAACTTTTCACACTAACCTAGCCTGAAAATACAAACGGGGAGAAAACTTGAGGAATGCCGATCCGTCACGCGAGGGGTCACCTTTGTAAACACTAGAGCAAACATCCCCATGCGTAATTCTTATTTCCTCTGCACAGACCCCGCTCGGTGACACCTCAACTGCTCACGGACTTCATCTGCAAGTCTCGTCCACAATCTAGGTAAATGCACAGCCCAGGAACTCGCATCTAATGTTGTTTCGTAGTTTGGGTGTAGCACAAGGCTGAAATCGACAGCCCCCCACCGTCGAGCCCAGGTGGCTTCAGGAGATAGTTGGAAAGAGGATTGGCTTCGTG